ACCCTGAGCCGGTGAGATTTGAACAGCCGAACTGCAGAACTGCAGTCAGCTGAAGTAGCCTGCAGTGCTGCATTTTAACCACTGCGCCACCTCGGATATCTTTCCTGGCATGGGACAACTAACAGCTTGCAGGATTTACATTCATTGTAGGAATATTGGCTTCTTTTCCTTTTTTTAAAGAAATTTAAAAGTGCTTACTTTTTAAGAAGCTAAACTATTTGAAAAAAATCTGGATGGATTATAACAGAATAGCAGAGTTGGAAGGGACTTTGGAGGTCTTCTAAATCAATCCCCCGCACAAGCTGGAGACCCTATGTGACCTATAAGACTCTATACTTAACGTAAGATGGGTTTCATGGCATGCCCAGGTCCTCTCATATATCAGAAGTTCAAAACTGGCTTTCCATTTTGCAAAACTACGGAGAAAAATCCCACACGTCCACTTGGAGGTTGGATGTCTTCTTGGGTCCTGGAAGACAATTGCAGGTGCGCAGCCAGCTTTAGCTGCCTTGCCTGAAGCTATGGATTTGGGTGGAGTACTTCTGAAGCTGCTCCTTGGGTTCATCTCCTTCCTCGCACTGCTGTTGATAGTGTTCATAGAGTTTGGACTTTCCTTCCGAGCCCGTGCCTTCAACCACCGGGTGGTGTCCATTGGTCATCCCGAGGATGGTGGAGGTGAGGGACTTGATGTAGTTCTTAGCCAACGTGAGGGTCTCGATTTTGGAGAGCTTGTTCTCCGCTCGGACGTGAGGGATGACTTCTCTCAGCGCTTGGAAGGCGTTGTTGAGCTTGTGCATGCGTTGGCGTTCGCGCTCATTGCTCTCCAGCCTCCGCAAGCGCCGATCCTTGCTGTTCCAAGAAAGTTTGGAGGCCGCCTTTGGGATTTCCTTGTTCCTCTTCTCCTTGCGCCATGAATATTTCAGAAGATCATCTCTGCTCTGGGTGAGTTCTTGGCCTAAAGTCTCTTCATTGACGGCGTTCCGACGCTTGGTTCCTTTGCTTTTGGCCTTCATGATTGGTTTAAACCCAAGATCTAGGAATTAGACGTTCATCTCCTAGCAGAAGGATGGCCCAACGTCAACCCAACGATGGATCCTTTTTTTTTTTTTTGAACAAAGACATCAACTTTATCTAGTTACATCTTCATCTTCCTCAGCTGTCAGCTCAATCAGATCTTGATCTAGACATGCAAGGATCCATGGAAGTTGGGGAATCCTGTGAATAATAATAATAATAATAATAGGGGCCCGACTAGTAACCAATGCCAAATCCAGCGAAACAACTGGCCGCTGTGATACAATTGTATAATAATAATAATAATAATAGGGGCCCGACTAGTAACCAATGCCAAATCCAGCGAAACAACTGGCCGCTGTGATACAATTGTATAATAATAATAATAATAATAGGGGCCCGACTAGTAACCAATGCCAA